ATTTTGTTATGCATATGTGTAAAGAAATGGTTAATTTTACTTTATATGTGCTTGGTCATATAGATAAATGGAAGAAGAAGTGATGGCAAGAGAAGAAATAGATGAAGAAGGAACTGAAGAGGAATTCTATGAAACTATAAGTACTTATTATTGGCCATTCAAGCAATAATGGTTGTTTTAAGAGAGGCTCTAATTAACATGCCTCAACGTGTGGAAGGTTCCCTCAAACGTCGCTCAGTAACTACAAAAGGATATCATTATATACATGGAGTGTTGAAAGAAGATCGACAAAGCTTTCGAGAGCTGTATAGAATGTACTCTGATGTGTTTCTTAAGCTATGTACCGTTCACATTTTGCATCTAGTCAAAACTTTAACAAAGTTTTGAAGGCATTAAACACTATAGCACCACATATGATGGTCAAGCCAGGATTTGCCGTGCCTTCTAAAATAAGAGGAAACACAAGATTTTACCCCTACTTTAAGGTATTTCTTTGACAAAAATAATGCAAAGTTGATTATGAACAATTTGGATTACTATTTTTTTAAATGTATGATCTACAAATTTGTTTCTAATTATTATTTTTTACAATTTGATGTTGCTTTAGGATTGCATTGGTGCCATTGATGGCACTCATATTCCTGCAATGGTAAAAGCTCGTCAAGTAAGTAGTTATCGTAATCGTCATGGTATTCAGTCCCAAAATGTTTTAGCAGCTTGCACTTTTGATTTGGAATTCATATATGTGCTTAGTGGGTGGGAAGGATCTGCACATGATTCAAAAATGCTAAATGATGCATTATGTAGAAGAAATGGACTTTGAAGTGCCTCAAGGTAAGTAAATTAATTTTATTGTATTTAATTTGTTACTTTTTTTTATGAAAATATTTGTTATGTGTATATGTCATCCTGTTTCTATTTTAGGAAAATATTTTTTGGTTAACTGTGGATTTGCGAATCGACGGCAATTTTTAGCACCATTACGAGGTGTTCGGTATCATCTCAAAGATTTTGGAGGTCAAGGTCGTCACCCCCGAATGCAAATGAGTTGTTCAATCTTCGTCATGCATCGTTGAGAAATGTTATTGAGAAGATATTTGGTATCTTTAAATCACGTTTCACCATTTTCAAAACTGCGCCTCCCTTTCCATTTCAAACACAAGTAGAGCTAGTGTTAGCTTGTGCAGGACTACACAATTTTCTTCGTAAAGAGTGTCGTTCTGATGAATTTCCTCCTGAACCAGAACTTGAGTCATCTTTTTCATCATATCTTGATGTTGATGTTTTTGCATGTAGTACATGCGAAACAAAAAAAATAAAAAATAAAAAATAAAAAAAGAAATTGCATGTTATACATGCGGAAGTTGGAGTGGGGAATTTGCTCCTCCAAAACTTCCCAGTGAGGGAATTGTTCTCCCAGTTTCCCATCTCCATCGCCACCTTTCCTTGACATCAATACAAATACGGAGTAGAATCTTTACTTGATTTGGGATGGACGTGATGCTTCATAGTGTCAGAACTTACCATAAATTTTCACATTTAAATGATTTGATAATATTTGTATGAGATGATTTTCAAAAGGAAAATGCTAAGGTGCCACCAAATGATAATATTTGTATGAGATGATTTTCAAAAGGAAAATGCTAGGGTGCCACCACAATTATCATTTGTGTTTGTCTGTGCGAAGCATGGGTGCACCCATGTGGTGTTACCCTAGCATGGTCTTTTTCAAAACTATTGGGTATAATTTTATTTTGAAATGATACAGTACAATTTAAACTATGCCAAAAAATATAACATGCATAACTCAAATAATAATGAAACAAAAGTAAAATTATGTACGTATAAAAACATAACTTTGTTAAAAAATATATTGACTTTGAATTTAAAAAAAATTAAACATAAAAAATACTAACTCCGTCCCAGAGTATTTGTCCACTTTCATTTTTACACACCATCCAATACACTTCTTTAATTCAGTTTATCTTGTAATTTGTATATTAACAAATTATAGAAATTATATATTAATAATCTATATGTTAAGACAAATCAAATAAGATCACACATGACTATATTTAGGATTACACATTGAGAGAATTTGATGAGTCAAAGTACTTAGATGAACAGTTCCAAAAGTCAAAACTGGACGAATAATCCGGGACTGAGGGAGTAAAATATAACGATCCTAAGTTTTAAAAACATAATGAATGTTTTTCAATTCATACAACATTGGATTATTAATAATTCTAATAAATAATGGTCATAGTAGTAATAAATATAATAGCAAAAATAATGATGAAAGAATATTAAAAAAGGAATAATACAATACGAAGTACTCCATGTATGGTAACATGAAGTAAATCAATAAGTTTTTGACATACTCAGTAGATAGATTTTAACGTTTCGGCTCGTAATAATCAAATTTAATTTTTTGCATCGCGGTCTCATCTCGTTTGATATCGAATCATCATGGAAAAATCAATCTCGTTTAAAAACACTACAAATGATTCGGTACCATTGCGATGGAAAAAATCAATCTCAATTTGGTACCATGTTCGTTCGGTTTTTTCGCCCAACACGAAACCCGATTGATCCATTTTTTAATCTTTCAAAAATTTATTTTAAAAAAGGTAAAGTACTTTTAAAAACTCTCAATTTTTTAAAATTGAATTTTAAAAATCCGTTTGGGGAAGCATCTCAAACAAATTTTTATAATTTGATCTCTAAAACAATTGTTTTAACCAGTAGAGATCCATTGAAGATGCTCATACGGTGTTTTCATCAAACCCCAAACGGCCCAAAACACATCTAAGAACCCGACAATTACAGGAAAATAAAGTGTTGTATTAAAAACAAAAAGAAGAACGTTTATTCCTTTTCATTCTTGTCCACATACTCCGTATGTTTACAAGTTGTGAGTGTCCCCAACAAACAAACTAGCGCCGCAAATGCAAGAATATCAATCCAATGATGATACAGACAACTAAAACAGCATCTTTATTGTAAGAAGGATGATGAACCCATTCCCTCATACCGATAGCATGCATGTTTATTACTCCTATATGTACCAAGTTAATCTGTGTATACATTGTGAAACAACTTTAAACCAAGAAACTCAAACTTTTTTTTCTACCATGTTGGCATCATCTTTCAGTGACTGCTAAGAAAACCAGAAGACCCAAAAGAGGATAACTCAATGTTGTCAGTCCCCAATTCACAACCAATTGGCTGAAGAATGCCACCTTTTGGGCATCCACTTGCCAAGCTATAGCTCCCCCTGCACTCTGCACTCCTTTGTAAAATCCTGTATACCTGAACCACCACCCCACAACCACCCTTTTTTGTTCAACAATCTTTGATAGGATCCAGTTAAAACAGGCAAGAACTTGAAGAATTCGAAAAAACGTACCTGCTAAGGATTTCAGAGTCATCTGCTAAGGCTCCAATGATCCAGTAAACCATACTCTGGAACATGGCGTCAAGCAAGCCGTAGCTAAAGTACAACACGAAGGGCCCCGCGAAATCCGACCCGTCCTTGAAATCCAGCTTGCGAGCGGGCATATCGTCGCGCGAATATTTGAGCTGATTCGCCATCCCGCCTCCCCAAATCGCAGTTCCCAGAACTCCCACAACTGCGATCCCCACCAATCCCCTAGTCCTCCGGCTCTTGAAGGTGAAGTCCATTATGAACCCAATGAAGACTGACCCAATCATCTGTGCACCCCAGTAGAACACATTGTTCAAACCCCTTGTTCTTAAATTGAACAGCGCCCCGTTCACATTGGTAAACTGATAGCTGTAGAAGAAATTGCTTGCCAAAGAGGCCGGAACCAACAAGAGCATCTTCCAATCCATAAAAAGCTTTGAGATCTCCCTAAACTCAACCCCCACACTGGAGTATTTGATGTTACTGCAGGTTGTTCCATCGTCCCTGACAACTTGGCTGGGATGGAGAATCGCGAGCGATAGAACAGTACCAATGGACATGAAGATCATGAATCCAATGTAAGTTCCGTCATTGACAGACACGGCGTCTGTGCGGTGATAATTCAGTATGAAAGGGATAAGCCCACCAATGACACCACCCATGTTGAATATGCTCCAGAACATGGAGATATAGGTCCCTTTCCGGGCACGGGGAGGGTACGAGGTCATGATGGCTCCTTGGGAGGCCCATACAAGGCCAGCCCCGATGCCAAGAAATGCTCCGGCGACGATGGCAAAGGCCTGGTGTTTGAAGTGGTTGTAGTAGAGGAAAGATCCGGCATAGAGGACATACGTCGAACACCCTGCGAGCAAGGTGAGTTTGGGGCCCAATACGTTGTAAATCCCGCCGCCCAGTACCCCGAAGACGGCAAAAGTGGTGTAGAGGGCGGTGTTGGCGTTGTTGGCCGCCGTTGGGTCAACCTGGCCGCCGCCGCCCATACCCGAGAGGGCGTTGAACATACCCGGACAGCAGAAGCAGACCAGACCGATCAAGATCACCTGAACCAGAGGCGAGTCATTCCTAATTAGAGCCCACTTGGCCGGAGGTTTCTCCGATGATCCTCCGGCGTTCAATTCATGTTTCGGCGGCTCCATCGCGGAAGAAAGAGGAATTCGGTGATGTGGGAGTTGAGAATTAATAAGAATGCATTAATGTGAAGAATAGTACAGTTATATATATATATATATATATATATATATATATATATATATATATATATATATATATATATATTCGGGAGATTTAAAAATGGTGGTGGCGGCTCCATGTTAGTAAAGAAGAGAATCTGGGATTTGGATATTGATAGGAAACCAATCTATCTCCACAGATTGAGACTCGCATACTTTTCTTCCGACCATTTGTACACGACGCATACCTGCCGGTCTTCAAGATATGGGCATTCTCAAATTATTACTCGCAGGTAATATACTCCATAGCATTTCATCCATTTGTTTTTATAATTTTTTATACCATTTAATTTTTTTACTACGGTCAAGAAAAAAGAAAAAACAAATAATAACATAAAGTAAATTATTGCATGCCTGATAGGATAATCGCTATTTTTTTTAAAACAAATAGTACAAATACGTTGCAAGTAACACTAATTTTAGACTTCAATGTTTCCAAACATGCTCTACTAAGAGAGGTGTATTCAATCTAGACGCTGTAAGATTTTTTTAGATTTTAAAAATCAGTGGGTATTCAATTAGAATTTTGAAAAATCAATTAAATTCTGGAGGTATTCAATTGAGATTTTAAAAAATCTTTCTAAATCTAATGATATTCAAAAGTTGATAGATTTTTATGGATTGTTATAAAAAATGGATTCTCATGGATTTTTATTTTGAATTACGGCTTAAAAATTTGTTTTCAAATCCAACCAAAATCGCAGGTATTTTCTAGAGTCCAAGAGCCGGTCGCAACTTCTCGATCTCCTCCTCCTTCGAAAATCTTCTTCTCTTCTTCCCCAAGAGCTCATCTTCTCGATCTCCTTCTCTGTCGGCAGAGGTTCTTCTCTTTCATCGTGTTCAAGCCTTCAAGGTAAAGTGATTAATCATTCTTCAAAAGTGAAGCAATCGGATACAAAGCCTTCAAGGTAAAGTAATTATCAGTTTTTTTAGTCCGTATGTTCTGCAATTTTGGCATAATACAGTCCGTATATTCTGCAACTTTGGCCTAATAATGCTATAATAATACGCCTTTTGGCATACTATTGGGACAGATTTGGGTATGACCTTTTGAATGCTCTGTTCGTGCATATACAGATACACTCCTACACTTTTGCGAGCTTGTGTTTTTCTTTGTGTTGCCCTCTCATCATAATACTTGCAAGATTTCTAATTCTATCTTGTTGGTGCCTTGTTTCATGATTTCAACACTAACTCATAAAAAAGACATATGAGANGGTTGTTTTAAGAGAGGCTCTAATTAACATGCCTCAACGTGTGGAAGGTTCCCTCAAACGTCGCTCAGTAACTACAAAAGGATATCATTATATACATGGAGTGTTGAAAGAAGATCGACAAAGCTTTCGAGAGCTGTATAGAATGTACTCTGATGTGTTTCTTAAGCTATGTACCGTTCACATTTTGCATCTAGTCAAAACTTTAACAAAGTTTTGAAGGCATTAAACACTATAGCACCACATATGATGGTCAAGCCAGGATTTGCCGTGCCTTCTAAAATAAGAGGAAACACAAGATTTTACCCCTACTTTAAGGTATTTCTTTGACAAAAATAATGCAAAGTTGATTATGAACAATTTGGATTACTATTTTTTTAAATGTATGAACTACAAATTTGTTTCTAATTATTATTTTTTACAATTTGATGTTGCTTTAGGATTGCATTGGTGCCATTGATGGCACTCATATTCCTGCAATGGTAAAAGGTCGTCAAGTAAGTAGTTATCGTAATCGTCATGGTATTCAGTCCCAAATTGTTTTAGCAGCTTGCAACTTTGATTTGGAATTCATATATGTGCTTAGTGGGTGGGAAGGATCTGCACATGATTCAAAAATGCTAAATGATGCATTATGTAGAAGAAATGGACTTTGAAGTGCCTCAAGGTAAGTAAATTAATTTTATTGTATTTAATTTGTTACTTTTTTTTATGAAAATATTTGTTATGTGTATATGTCATCCTGATTCTATTTTAGGAAAATATTTTTTGGTTAACTGTGGATTTGCGAATCGACGGCAATTTTTAGCACCATTACGAGGTGTTCGGTATCATCTCAAAGATTTTGGAGGTCAAGGTCGTCACCCCCGAATGCAAATGAGTTGTTCAATCTTCGTCATGTATCGTTGAGAAATGTTATTGAGAAGATATTTGGTATCTTTAAATCACGTTTCACCATTTTCAAAACTGCGCCTCCCTTTCCATTTCAAACACAAGTAGAGCTAGTGTTAGCTTGTGCAGGACTACACAATTTTCTTCGTAAAGAGTGTCGTTCTGATGAATTTCCTCCTGAACCAGAACTTGAGTCATCTTCTTCATCATATCTTGACATGGAGGAAGAAAATTCTAAAATACTTTCTCAAACTCAACAACAACAAAGAACAGAAGCTAACGTTTGGAGACATGGCATTGTTGAAGCTATGTGGGCCGATAGACCACAAAATGATGCTAATGAGGAGAATGAAGAATGTTTTGGTGATAATGATGTTGAAATGGAAGACTATGTTGTTTACTAATTTTATTTTTGAATTATCTTTTAAAATTTTGAATAATGTCTTCTTTTGAGTTGTCTTTAGAATTTCGTTATTGATGAGTTTTGACATACAAAAAGAATAGCTGAGAGATAATAACAATTTTAGATGCAAAAAAAATATTGCTTATTTTACTCTAATAAATATACTACGACAATGATAATTTTATAAAAAAAATAGATTATTTTTATTTTATTAGATTATTTTTAATTTTTTTATCGATTTCATAAACAAAGTTTTTAAATAGCTAATTATAATACTTCCTGTTACAACAATGTATAAATGTATAAAATAATTCATATTTATGTATAAATGTATGAGTCCATTTACTCATTTTTTGGTTAACTTCCGGTCATTTAGAAAAATACAGGAAAATCACAATTCTTCTTGGTATCGGAGCCATAATTCTCAAACCAAAAACCCTAACCCTACCTCCTCTTCCTCTCTCCTCGGCGTGCCCTTCTCCAGCCGCTCAGCCGCCGCCGCCCTCCTCTCTCTCTCGGCGGACTGTCCTCGGCGACGGCACAGCCCCACGTCGGCGAAACCTTACCTCCTCTTTCCATATGGCTTCCTCCGACAAAAATACAGGAAAATCACAATTCTTCACTAGAATTTTATATATTTTAAAATTTTCAATTTAACCTCATTTCTTTTTTTCTTCTTCTCCCCCCTCCCACTCCCTTCTTTCTTCTTCTTCTTCACCCCACCCCACTCCGAGTACCACCCAGCCAGCCCCCCACTCTCTCCCTTCTTTTTTTCTTCTTCTTCCCCTTCTCACTCCATTCCTTTTCTTCTTCTTTCACCACTTTCTTCTTCTTTCTTCTTTTTATACTCTCAATATGCATACCTCTGTCTGGCTGAAGACGTTATCTTTAAAATTTTGGTATTTGGTCATTTGATTATGGGAGTATTTATGCTTTTCTCCATTGGATATTACGTTGCATTTACACCGTTTTAATCCCCCTCAAAGTTGAAAATAAGAATCCATAGAAAAGTGAACTAAGACTTGCAGAGAGCAAGCAGATCAGCACTAGTGGCTTTATTCTTTTTTTTAAATTTAAAAATTAGTTTAGGTCTTAATTTGAAATAAAAATATGCCGCTCTTTTTTTTGTGTACAAGAGATATGTTTTTGCTCTATCAAAATGGGTTAATTTTAAATTTCTTCTGTTGCGGCGGCGGTTGTATCCCTTTGTTGAGGCGAAAGAAGAAGAAGAATAAAAGGGGTGAAAGAAGAAGAAAAAGAAGAGAGTGGGAGGGGGAAGAAGAAGAAAAAAAGAAGGGAGAGAGTAGGGGGGGGCGGGGTGGGACTGGGAGTGGGGTGGGGTGAGGAAGAAGAAGAAGGAGGTGAAAAGAAGAAGAAAAAGAAGATAGTGAGAGGGAAAAAAAGAAGAAAAAAAAGAAATGAGATCAAATTGAAAAATTTTAAAATATACTTCGTATAAAATGTTAATGTAGTTCAAATGATTCGAAGTTAACCTAGAAACGAGTAAATAGACTTTTAGTGAAAGTATTATGTAAGTTCAAATATTTTTGTGAAAGAATTTAAAGTTTAGATACCACTTCAAAATTTCACTCTGAAATTTATCCCAATTTAAGGCTCCATTAATTTGAATTCATGAGGCCGAATACCCCGTAGGGATTAACGTCTTCCCAAGCGATGCAAGAACGTTAACTAACGACGACGACAGAAATTTGCAGGGAGGGGTCGAGGGGAAGAGGAAGGCACGTGACTGAACGGGCATTTCCGTCTCCTTCGTACGACTACTGCGAGATGGAGGAGGAGAGGATTTTCAAAATGGAGTGAATGAAAAGACAAAAAAAAGCCACGACGCATTTCAGCTGAATTTCATTTCACTTGCATTTACATTTCACTCGCCCTACCATTTATTACCACGCGATAATCGGATCGGGCCCCTTATCTTTAGTTCTCACTCCTCCTATAAATACTTCACTGCCCCTTTTCCCCTAAATGCCAATTTTATATTTTTCACTTCTCTTTAAGGAGAGAGAGAGAGAGAGAGGCTCGAAGAGGTAGGTGTATGTATACCTTCTTCCTCGCAGTAATTTGTGTTTTATTATGATCTATCGCTCTCTATCTAATTTGTTTGCATTAGATGTGATTTATTGATTGTTACATGCATTATATATCGATAATTGAGTTGTTATTTTAAATTTCTCATTATTATATACTGGAATTATTTTAATTTTCTGTTTTGTTTTTAAATACTCCTTAATTTTATTTAAGAAAAAAAGCTCTCCATTGTGACCGTGTTTAGATTTGACTTTTATTTTTTGAAAGTCTGGTTTAGATTTGAATAAAATTGGACACTATTTTGTTTAGATTTATTCAGTGGAAGAGGAAAGTACTTTTGAGAAGCCTTGGTTGCAGTTATATACTTATATTTTTGATCTCTTTTTGTTCTCTGTGGTGGAAGTCAATGTTACATGTAGTTTCATTGGCAAGAAATTTAGTCAATTCTACACTGTCTTTTGATTGAAAATAAACTTCACTCTCTTAAGAAAAAAGGAGATAGATGATGTGGGTCGTCACATCCAAACAAATTGTAACAATATTATTTCTTTTCAACAATTTTCTTAAACTCCGTAAAGTCAAACACCAAAGTTCATTTTTGGCACAAAAGGAGTAAATCACGTGTGCCTGTGTAAACAGCCGCATGTTTTCTTAAGCTAAAATGTGATTGGTAGAGTATTGGCCCATCAAGCATATGTTGATGGGTTCGTTATTGTGGCGGTCCACAGAAGTCTAAGTTGTGGAGTTATCCAGGAATTCAAGCTTGAACTTTCACTGAATCAATGGAGGCCTTTGGCAATTCAATGGTAGCTGGACCTGCGACTGTTATCTATCTGTCAAGCATTCTTGGCCAAGATGATGGCCCGAACCCTGCTCACAAATGTGATTGGAAATGTGAAAACGAACATGTGTGCGGGAACATGTACAGATGCAGACTAACTGGGCTGACACACATTTGTGACAAAAACTGTAACCAGAGAATTTTGTATGACAATCATAGCTCCCTTTGCAGGGTGAGCCGGCAGATTTTCCAACTTACCGCAGCTGAAGAGAGTGCTGTGAAAGGTGTACGGAGGAAGCTTGATGCTGATAGTTCACCCCTTGACAGCTGTGCTTCCAAGCGTAGGCGAGATGCAACATTTCATCCATCACCGTTTGAGAGATCTTTCTCTGCTGTTACTCCCATTTGTAGCCAAGTTGGAGATGGAATGGATATGAGCTAGATCATAACTCGTTATTCTACGTCACTTTTTTAGTATTTTGCTCTCATGAGACAATAATGCAAAAAAAACACTTTGATAAGGCCTTCTTAATAACAGACTGGAAAGTCTTGCTAAGTCTGTAGGAGATTCTTATATTGAACTGAAGTACCTTCCATTACTTACTAGGTGATCAACTTTATCATGCATCTGGAGTTATTATTGTTATTATTATTATTATCATCTCATTTGAGTTCCATTAGTGCAACGTGAGAGCTCAATATCTGACAAAGTGGATTGGTTTCTTTCAGCTTCGTGCATCGTACTGCTAATAAATTTGCTGATTGGTTGTAGTTTATTATGTTATCAAGTGTCGATGGAATGGTGGTTTCTTGTGTTGTATTGATTAGCTTCTTGCAAATTCCTTTTTTGACACTTGCTCTTAAATAGTGTGCCTTCACATGACAGGTTGTTTTTGGAAACACTAATGTTGTTGCGTCATTTTAAAGAAACTTTCCATTTCAAGTCTAGCTCATTTCTTTGTTTAGTCTACTTAAGCTAAACTGATGTTTATTTCTTTACTTCTGTTCTTTTCAGGTTTATGAATATTAGCTGAGCTCATTTCTGGTTCTTTGTTATTTAGACATTTATCTGTTATTCTGTTCTTTACAAGCTGTTACAATTCTGGTTCCTTACACGGTGTTGTTTTTGCAGGAACTGGGGTTAAATATCGGGAAATTGATATATAGCATCATATATATTCTATTTAAATACTCTGTGTTTTCTTAATAAGGATAAGGATTTAATCAGTGATAATAGAAAGAAGTGTCTGATCGTTATACTAATATTCTTGTTTAATTCATGCAGGAAAAAACAGTTCACCAAATGTGTGTTTCAGAACTCAAAATTCTTAAATGGTGCATGTTATGTTCAAGAGATGCCTACCAGCTGAAGTCGAGACCTCTTCATCCAGGGCACACTATGTTTTCCTCCTACATTATTCTACATCATCTCCCTAATCTGTTAACAGAGAACTTGTGACAACTTAATTGTTACGGCAAAGTAGTTGAACTGATGCACAACTGCTTACTACCTACCCATCTTAAAGATACTCAGGATCTTCAGGTATTGTTTTCCCTTAGTATTTTCAGTTTTTATTGCCTTAGGACATAACTATAGCCGTTAGACTTTCAAATATTTTTCTCTGGCAATGATCTTCAATGCAACACTTTCATCTGAACAGTTAATCATCTCCAGATTTGTGGAACAGAACAAGAATTGTCTAAAATTTTAATCATTTGTATGATTAGCATGTTTAATGGTAAAACTAGATATGAGATTTGATTGCTGTGTTGCTTTACAGTATTACACTATCTTAAGTTTTATAAAGTAATACGGAGTAATACATCCTATGAAGTTCTGCCAAGTTTTAGCAACTTACAGTCATACATTTGAGCATAGTTATTAATGGCGCTCGCCATGCTCGCCTATGGCTTTGTGGCGACCACTTGATGCCATTCTCAGGCCTGGCGTGGCGTTTTACGCCATTCTCGCCTATGGCGTTCGCCATGGACGCCATTCTCTGTGGCGATAGGCGTTTGCCATCCACGCCAGGCGCAGGTCAAGGATTTTTAATTGAAAAGGTTGACTTTTTTTTAAACGCGCTGACCTATTAGTAGTCGATCAAATCACTTCTCCTCATACGATCGATTCAACTGCCTCTGCCTCTGCGTCTCTCCGTCTCGTCAATAGTCGATCGAATTTCTCCTCAGCCGGCTCAGCCTCCTGCCCTCCTCAGCTTCTCCTCAGCCGGCGGCCCGGCGCAGCCCCTCCTCTCTCTCCCGAGTCCAAACAGCACGCTTCGCAGAGTCGAGACTCCACTTCGTAGGTCAGACTTTTTATTTTTGTTTTCTTATTGTTTCTTTATTTATTTTTTTGAATGCTTATTGTTTCTTAATTGTCTTCACTATGTGTATTATTATATTCTTAATTTCTTTTTAAGTACTATATTTTGTTTTTTGTTTTACCAATAACTCATGTTTTACTTTGATAATTATGTTTGATACTTTGATACAAAGTTAAGACTAAAAGTTTAGACTTAAACAATATATATATATATATATATATATATATATATAATATTTATTTATTTATATAATGTTCGCCATTTGACCGCCCGCCACTCGGCACGCTTCTCGCCATAAAAAAGAACCTCTCGCCCGCCACTCGCCATTCGCCATTCACAACTATGCATTTGAGATCAGATGTTTGTGGATATTCAGGATAATAGAGTTTGCTTCTGTTAAATTGGAAGTTGTGCAAATCAGAGATGCTAGGCTGTGATTTCTATTTCTAGATCAATCCTCTGAGTCATATTCAATGTACTCAAGAAGCTTGAAGGTATTCTTGCTGACTTCAGCTCGTTTAATTTTTATGTTTTATATGTTTTATATTATTTCACAAGTTCAGAGATTTTAATGGACATATAATATGATACATGAAATCTCTTAAAGGTAACTTTGAAAGTCAATTGCTTGTGATGTGGGTTTTTAATTTTAAAACTTCTTCTTCTAACTAATGATACAAAGTAGTTGATCGCAACAAGATTGCATTCATAATAAAATTATTCTAAAGTTGTGGAAACTTCTGTGTTTTTTCATTTGTGTAGGGCTCATCAGTTTAATAAGATAGAGAAGCAATATAATTCAAAGATCTTAATACTAATAGGTATATTAAATTTTACAGTTTTGCTTTGAAATACAGTAATCCATGAAGTCGTAGATAAAGAAAGAAAGGAATTGCTTCTTGTTGAGGCCACCTAAGATGGAGGAAAAAGAAATTCTAAACCAAAACTCTGACCTTACGTTGGATGAATTTCTCAAAGCAACTTGACATTATGCATTTAGCACATAATCATCAGGTATTATAAAATCTTCCTCAATGTTACTATATAAGAAGTTCAGGATTCTTTTGGCAAATCCCCTACGCACACAGGACATTTCGTTAGCTCTATATTGGCGGCCATAATGATGTCCTGGAAGCCCTTTCTCGTCTCACTGCTTTTCTCAACTTTCTTTTCATACTCATTTGAATACAGTTTCATCATAACCAACAACTGTCCATATACAATATGGCCTGGCACACTTGCGGGTTCAGGAACTCCCGCACTACCCACAACTGGATTTCAGCTGAACTCCGGCCAGAGTGTTAGCATCCCATGTACTCCAAAGTGGTCTGGCCGCATTTGGGCCAGAACCGGATGTACCTTTGGCACAAATGGTGTTGGCTCTTGTCAAACTGGGGATTGTGGAGGAAAACTTGAATGCAATGGCGCAGGGGCCGCACCTCCTACATCCCTCTTTGAGATCACTCTTGGAGATGAGAAAGACTTCTATGATATAAGCATGGTCGATGGTTACAACCTGCCTATGATTGTTTTCGCTCAAGGGGTGTCCGGACCATGCAACACCACTGGTTGCATTTCTGATCTCAACATTGGTATGGTTCTATTAACCTGACCAAGATCGTTTTTGGTAACACTCAAAACGTCCGAAATGGCTAAAATGACTAGTTTTACTGAATTACAAAAAGAAAATATCGTTTAGACATAAATTAAATAACCTAAAGAAATAATATACTCCGTATTATTTTAAAATAAAGCTTAAAGCATCAAATTCAACCATTCTAACTATCAAATTTGGCCGATGTACTAACAAGAGTTAGGGCTTGTTCTCTTCACATGATCTAATTGGTTCTGATTTGATTGGAATAAGTTCTGGAGGTTTGCTTTAAAAGAAAAGAAAATTAATTGCATTTTGAAAATGGAAAACACTTGCTGTAGGTTGTCCAAAAGAACTTCAACAGATTGGGACAGACGGGGCTGTAATTGGGTGCAAGAGCGCATGTTTGGCATTTGGATTAGAGCAGTTTTGCTGCAGCGGAGCTCATAGCAATCCATCAACTTGTCAACCATCATACTATTCTAAAATCTTCAAGAGAGCTTGTCCCACTGCATACAGTTATGCATATGATGATGCAACCAGCACCTTTACCTGCAAGTCTGAAGCATATCACATCGTCTTTTGTCCCAACACGTAAGGCCTCTAGTAGATTTCGCATGGTGCGGACACACTTTGTGAAGTTTCATTTTCTTTACCTCATTCTTTAATGAGGTATAAAGCTTTTACTTCATAAAGCACTTGTCCTCAAAAGAGAACTTTTCTTATACGAATATATATAATGATGAACCCAAAAGAGAACTCAAATAATAGATTTATAGTATTACTCCGTATTGTAAACTATGTATATGTTTTCTTAGACTGCTAATTGTATCCCATGACGAACAGAGGCAACAATGCTGCTGGACCTCCACTTCCACCACCGCCGCTTCTGCCTCCGCCTCCCCTTAACGGTGGTGGAGTTGTAATGCCACCTCCACCTAACGGCGGTGGAGTTGTAATGCCGCCTCCACTTAATGGCGGTGGAGTTGTAATGCCCCCTCCGGTGCCACATACGCCGCCACCTCCTCCAGCCTTTGGCGGTGCAGTTGCCCCACCACCACCGCCACTTTTTGGTGGTGAAGGTGCTCCACCACCTCCGCTTTTTGGCCCTGGAGTTGCTATGCCTCCTCCACCAGCTCCTCCAACTGTTATACCTCCGCCCTATGAAGAAAGTAAGAGCTACAAGTCTGGAGGGATGGTTTCATCTTCAAAAAAGAGTTTGCCCTTTCCAACATTGGTTGCCATTTTAATGTTTTCATTATTTCTGCGGATATAGAGACTTTTCCGACGAAACAGTTTTCAGTTATGGCATATGAAAGCCATTACTGTGCAAAAGTTTAAATGAAGTACTAACACTTAAGGGTATACTATATAGTTCATGAATTTACAAGGTACTCCGTATATTATTGTTGTTCTTGCTACTGCTCCTACTTTAAACGGATTCCTTTCCTTTGTTCGTTCTATCAGTGCTTATATATATATATATATATATATATATATATATATATATATATATATATATATATATATATATATATATATATAAACAAAATTAATGTGATTGTAATATTCAAATATTCAAAACCTTGAACCCGAACCTTTAAGTCAAAATTATTGTTTAACCTTACACGTTATTATCTCAAATAGAACCCCGGCCCTCATTGATACCGAAGTATATCATCTTTGACGTATATTACTCATCCTCCCACAACATCCTCGAATACGATTGTTTGTGTTTGGAAGTGTAAGTTTCCATACCTTTTTAAAAAAAGTTTTGCAACTTACAATTTGAAAAAAAAAACTTTTGAAAAAGTATTTTACTTTCTCTTGAGCACGTGTGGCATGACTTGAGAAAATTTTGAGGACGTGCTTATTAGGCAATATATAAAATTTGAAAGTTGAATTTTTAAAATTGTGACATGTGGCGTGCTTATTAGGCAATTTTTTTGACATGTCAGCAAATAATATTTAATGAATTAGTTAACAAAAAATTTATTCTATGGAAGTTAAATTTCGTACTTGTTTTACACAAGTTCCTCAGCCTAATCGCATATAAAAAACTTTTATATCTTAATTCATCATTGGAAAACATTTAAATTAAATAATTTATTTTGAGATTGAAAAAAGGAACTCATTCAAAAACAATAATGAAAACAAATAAATTTATTCTAAGAACCGATATATGACTAAAACAAATTACATGTGAATATTTGTTTTTTGCTTTGAATTAATACTAATTGGAGAGATTTTCCAATATTGAAAAAAAGAAATAAATATATAAAAAGGAAAGGGATTTTTATAGGTATATTTTTATAAGGGATTTAATTTTACTCCGTATATATTTTAAAAATTCTAAGTCAAACAATAACTTTGTTCCAAACTAAAATTAGTATTTTTCATTTTAAAAGTATTATTCTCCGTTAGGGATCAATTATAAGTGGCTTATATGAAGCTGTGAAGAGAGGTGATACTAAGTCGGCAGCTATTAGCCAATGAATTATCATATCATCTACATTCACTAAGGGAATGAAATATATATGTTTAACAGCTGACAGGATGTAATGGCTATTTGCAAGAAAATTGGTTATCCAAATTTATTCATTACAGTAACATGTAATCCCAAATGGCTAAAAATTGCAAGGTATATGACAATAAGAAAATGTAGAGTTGAAGATAGACTTGACATTGAATTTAGAATCTTTAAAACGAAATTAAATAGTTTGGAGAAGGACATAAAATAGAACCTATATTTGGTTATGTAATTGGAGGTAATTTGAAAGTTTGTTTTATTAGTTTCATTTAAATATAAAGATGTTGCAGTTTGGACATTCAAATTTAAAGTATCGTCATTTGAATGTAATAATTTGGTGCATGTTTGTACACTGTTGACTTTTAAAGAGAAGTTTCACTCATGCATATATCTTAATATGGTTACACCGAATGGATAAATTTAAACCACCTGAACCAATTGATCGTGTGATATGTGCAGAGATTCCTAATAAAGACAAATATCCCATGGTTCACGTGGTATAGATGGTCCTACATCTCTATTTACAAACATCGATAAATGTATGAAAAATTTTCCAAAAAATTTTATTGATAAGACATCGTTTGATAAGAATGGCTACCCGATATACAGATGAAGAAATATGGGAGTCCCGACAATGAGAAAAAATATGATGTTGAATAATAGGTTTGTTGTGTCATGCAACCCCCAACTCTTGATGTGGTATCAAGATCACATCAACATTGAATATTGCAATAACTCTAATTCAAACTCTTGATGTGGTATCAATATTCAATAGTTATTGAATATTGCAATAACTATTGAATATCTCCTCAAGGTATAAATAAAGTAACTATTGCAATTATCCAAACTAACTTTGACTCTGTTCACATAAATGATGGATGTGAAACCTCTTGGAGAAACCTCTTGACGAAATAGAGAAATATTTTGGTTGTCATTACGTATATGGATGTGAAACCTCTTGGAGAATCCTCTCTTTTGATTTACACCACAGGTGGCCAGTAGTAATAAGGTTGAATTTCCATCTCCTAAGCCTGAAATTTGTAACCTTTAGAGACCAACAAAAGCTAAAAGATGTTGTCAAAGACATTATTGATAAAGTTTCAATGTTTGAATCTGAGATGATTACCAATACAGAGTACAATGGGGGACACAATTTGACGTATGCAGAGAGTTTCTATAATATTTTCCAACTACAGAGAACGGAAATGTTGTCGAGGTAACAAAGACAATCAATAGGCAAGCTACAATACATGCCTACGGAAACCAGAGAGCCTTATACTACTTAAGAATACTATTAATTGTTAAACAAGGATGTACAAGTTATAAAGGCTTGAGGACAATTAACAATGTTATACATAACTCATTCAAGAAAGCATTTGAAGCATTGAGGTTATTAACCGATGATAAACAATTTATTGAAGGTATTAAAGAGGTTGCTAAGTTATGATTTGGAAATCATCTAAAAAATTTGTTTGTCACATTATTAGTGACAAATACCATGAATCACCTACAAATTGTTTTGAAAAAAATATGAGAACTCTTGGTGGATGGAATTTTCTTTAATCAAAGGAGAATATTGCGTAATCAAGGAATTTCAATAATAAGAGTTTTTTACATAATAATCCATATGAAATGTGTTACATGGAAACAATACTCTTTAATTGAGTACTGCGATAGAAACAAACTTTTCTCTTTTTTTTACAAAATTTATAATCTCACGAGAAGATATAAAAAATTTATGTCTAATTGAGATTAAAAAGTTACTTAATTGAAATAGATGGTCTTTAAAAAATTCAATGGCATGCCATTTCCAAATGACAATCCACTTAATAGATATCAAAATAATTTCTTGGTAGAAGAGTTGAACTATGACAAAGAAAGGTTTTCATTTGATCTTAGGAGATATTTATCTACGATGAATGAAGATGAGAGGAAGACATCTAATGAAATAATAGAAGTTGTGGCAGCGGAAAGAGGAAGTTTCTTTTCTTATATGATTACGGCGGAATTGAAAAAATATTTTTCTAGAAATCACTGTCTGCTTCTTTGATGTCAAATGGTAAGATTGTCTTGAATGTCACATCCATTTGCATTGTGGGATTGCTTTTGCCTAGGAGAAGGACAACACACTCAAGATTCTTAATTCATTTGGTGCTAACCGTGCGCTCATTGTGTGCCATAAAACAAGGAAGTCCAAAAGTATATACTTTACTTATCCTAACCTATGCAGTTATCTTCTTGAAAACCTGTCCGAATTCTTGATTCTTGACACAAATTATCACCTCAAGCGTATATACTTTACTTATCCTAACCTATTGGAGAATATACATTTTTTTGTTATATCCCTTATTCTAGGAGGTGAAAAGGAATACTTGAGTTTTAATTGTTCATTCCAAGAAGATTCAGACATAAGTGTTGAAGGCAATTGGATAACTGTTAAGGTTTTTTAATGAGATCAAATGTTCGTAGATCCCAAAGCACGAAGCAGTTTTAAAAAGGAGGATACTGATGATGTCACTGAAGAACATTGGCCAAACATATAGATTATGTAATGGTAGAAGTTTAATCATTGAAGAGCTATGAAAGAAGATTATCACAAGATTATCACTGCAATTATGGTTTTGGGAAATCGAGACGGGAAGAAGGTTCACATACCTCGAATGAATTTTGTATCATCTGATTAAGGACTACTCTTGAAATTCTAGAGAAGATAATTCCCATAGTCCTATTTTTTGCTATAACTATTAACAAAAGTCATAGTCAAACATTGTCTTTTGCTATTTGATTTTTAACTAATTCAGTATTTACTCATTGTCAGCTTTAACTATATTACTATTTCACGAGTGAAGGCAAAAACATGATTAAAAATATTAGTTTTAGATAACAATGAAAACCCTTATAACCATACCAAAAATTTTATATACCCTGAAGTCTTTCAGAAAAGTTAAAATTTAAAAAGTCTTTCTCAAATACACATTCAATTTCTCAAATATTATTTACTCTACTTTGCTGTTTTTGTTTATTGATTAAAAATTGTGTTAGAAATATATACTAGATTCCGAAAAATATATTGCATTGAAAAAAAATTCAGAATCGGCGAATTTTGTTTAACCCCGTGCATCGGATGGGCCAAAAACTAGTTTTTTTTAAAGGAAAAGAAATATAATACCCTAAAATGTACCATATAATATATACTCTCTAAACTAGTTTTTTAAACTATTTTTTTCTATCCTAAAAATAAGGGTGAAAGATAATGTCAAAATTTCAAATGCAATATTACTATTATTGAGTGGATCTTATCAAGAGGTTTCCATAATAATGGTGGTGGTGGTGACGATAATGATGCACCACAATTTTTTTGACAACGATTAATGCCATAATTTGACAACAAGGACTACGGTGCACCATTTGAAAAATTGATACTTTCTGCTTTTCTAAACCCCTCCTAACCCCACCCTAGCACCCCCTGCCCCCTCCCCAAAATGCCGAATGGCGACAGAAAATTGATGTCAATCGATGTTTTGAAGAGGTTGTCAATCGATGTTTTGAAGAGGACTGCTGGTTGGGGTTTAGGGGAGGTTAGGAGTGTAGGAACCATATGGAGTAATAATGAAGTTATAGCTGAGTACCCAGTACTTTGATCTGAACCACAATTTACATTATCAAATACCAACTATAGATCACAAATACTATATCCACTTTGTGCATAAATGCATATGTTTTTGAGCCAATATAACAACAAATCTATAATACCATCGATGTACAAGTGAGATAGCTCATGTATATAGATCACATACCTAGCAGCAACCTGCCTTCTGTGTGTCAAACACAATGTTCACAAGTGATGCGCACAGGTTCTGGCCCACACTGCGTGGATAAAAAACACCCAGCAGTAGATGGTTGGTGTTGCAGTTTGAGTTTACAAAAGTCATTATTGGTTACAAGTTACAATTGCTGATAATTATGATCATCTGAATTTTCCCCTGAAATTCGTTACTTAGGAAGACCTGCGAACCCTCCATTTAACCGGCTGAATACTAGCTTTACTGGGATACAAGCAATCCCAGTGGGCACAGTATCTTCTTTCATCAACCCATTTACTTGGAATATTTGTTTTAGATCACTCTGTTTCTGTTGTGTGGAAATGGATGAAAGAGTTCTTATCTTCTTCTTCTGATGATGATGATTACAAGACAAACTAACTCTTTTAGATGTCTTTCTAGATAATGTTTTCACTGTGCGAGGAAGGCGGGAAATGTTCTTCCTCGTCATTCTCGGTTTCTGCCCAGAACTATCAGTGGCGGCTAGGGGTTTGGTGATTTTGGTACCATCCAATCCTGATGATAAAATAATATTGGGCCGTGGAACTCGTACACCAGCTGTCCTTCGGGCAGTCCTCCATACAAGTTGCAGTGAGCTATCATTTTCAGGGGAAACATCAGCCACACCTAAGGAACTTTCAAAAGCACAATTCTCATCAAGAGCTTCAACTGGGATAGGGTGCCCAACTATTGCCTGTCCATTATTTACCTTACTCATTAATGAAATCATAGGCACTCTCTGCCTATGGTAACTTACTTGCACTTTCAAATCCACATCTACCAACTTTGACCCATTAATAATGAGCTGCTGAACTGGCGCCTCAGAGGTTTTAAGGAATGAAGTAACTTTGCTTCTGCCACCGCAACTACCCTTACCTGAAGTGGATCTACCAGTCATATTATTGGCTGTCCTGAAACGATTTGCCTCAAATGCATCAAAAGACCTCCTCACAACATTCCGATTATTCCTTTTTCCTTTAAGTTTCCATTTTGAGATCCCAGCACCAGCAGGGACAGTGTTGTAATCAAGTGCAGGGCGACAATGAGCAACTGAAACGTCATCAAGCTCTTCACTATGTGTGCTTCCATGTTCAGCCGGTGCTTCAAATCTTCCAAAATATTTAGGTTGTAATTCAATAGAAGCAGCACTTTCTGTACTCTCAAGTAATTAAAATTTAGAAGAAAAGAAAAATAAGCTAGGTAGTTTAATTGTTAATAAAATTTAGAGCAAAATGTTGTTAAAAAACTAAAATAATAAATCAGCTGATAGTCCTCAGGTTAATAAGCTAGGTAGTTTGGTTGCTAAAAGATCTTCTTCGTTTGACTTTCAGGAAGTTTAAGAAAAGTGTTGAAAAGTGAAACAGATGTGGTTAGAATTTGATAAGAGAAAATTTTTGAGCCACACATTCTCTTCTTAAAAAGGAAAGTGAAGTTTTTTTGGGACGGATGAAAAAGGAAAGAAGAAAGATCTTTTAGGGAGGGTGGGAGTATATAATAATATATATACATGAGCACCCATGTAACAATGAAAAAATATTGTAAATTAAAATATAAAATTAATAATGATAATATTATCATTATTATATTTATTATTATTATTATTATTATTATTATTATTATTAACAACAAAAAAAAAGTGATACTATACCTGAGAATATAGTCATATCAACGTCTCTATCTGAAACTTGTGAATCGCTCTCAGGGGAATCCGTTTCAGTACATTCTGTAGATATGGAAGTATTCTCTTCACATAAAACACCATGTTGAAGAGCCATATTCCTTTCAAAATTTGGAGCTAATATCTCAATCTGAGGGGGGAGATCAACAATCCTCTTGCTACTGGAAACATCTCTAGATTCAGATGCTACTAGGTTAGTATACCTTGCCTTTTTCATACGGACTATTCCAGATTGCTCATCCCCTAAAACAGACGTGAAATGAGAACTCGAATCAGGCTGAAGATAAGAAGACACTGGAAACTTTTCACTATTCTGCAATACTTGAACAAGTTGTTTGTGCTCATCATGCCTCTTAATAACCAGTCTGTCTTCGGCAAACAGATTCACTTTACCTCCATTAACTATGACTTCATCTCTAGGACTCCCGTCAATAAGAAAGTTGCTGCGGGGGACATCCAAGAAGGCACCAATTGAAGAAACAGGAAATTTATCCTCACAAGGGACTGAGCACAGACCAACATCCTGCAAAGCTCTCATATTGAGAAGTACTCTGGAATGATCATCCATGCTAAGTGGGTTTTCCTTTTGAGCTATGCTCAAAATATCAACGATGTTCTTACCCATAAGAGATAGCCCATCTGCGTCAGAAGTTAGGTGGAAATGTTCTCCTTTATGATTTTCCGATTGTAGGAATGGTGTCACTGCCTCTCTTGTTAAAATGTCATCGGATGATTTGTCAATCTTATTGTTTATGTCCCCGTATTTTTTGCCAACTAGTTCCTTCTCAAGTTCAAGCGCATGAAGTATTGCATCTTCACGACGTGCATATTTCTCCCTTTTCTTAAGAGGCACACCCAAAGAAGCTTCAGCTCGTTCAATACAGTCATTGAACTCGCCACATCTAAACGCCTTCACACGTTTTGACTTCTCCAAATTATACCAATCCCTGGAAAAGAGCACAGCAACAAATGGGACAACAAAGCATGACCCAAAGAACCCAGAAACAGGTTAAAATTTCTTTTAGAGAAAGTATTACTTCAAGAAGAAAATTATTGATGAAATAAGATTAAAATTTCCTATAAAACCCTTTTGAAGCATTCGCAGAGTTCATTAATCCACTACAGCAGTTCTAGCCATTTTCTATTTTAGGATACATTTCTTCATTACAAATAAGATTACAATACCTAGTTTCGAGTAAGGACAAGGTGTGCGTACACACACCCTCCTCAGACTCTTGTGGGATCTAACTGGGTTTGTTGTTGTTCTTCTTCATTAGAAATACTATTAAAATACCTAGTTGCTAGCTAAAAGCACTTAATGGGTTCTAATTATGTGTTACTCGTCTCTTTTCCAATTATGATATTCAGGACTTCCAAACTTACATCAAAGTACAGTTCCTAATGCTCAGGTAGGTGAGGTAGCATTCAATTATATAAAACGTCAAAATTCAGTTAGAAAAACTGATGGATGTCTTTACAGAAATACATGTCTACTGAAGTATACATCCTACGATAGGGAAAAAATACCTATCCTTAAAATTAAAGCGTGTGAAAGTTCTATCCAACAAAATTTACATCAATAAGTGTAACAACAAAAAAATGCTCTACCTCATTCACAATGTCATGAAAGAAAAAAACTAAACATAGTAGAGTGAGAACAACTTACACACTGGCATCCTCCCTCCCAAGAAGCTTTACGGGAGTTCCTGATCGCGGAGACATCACATGAGAAGCAGAGAGCTGATCAACCCCCAGAATTTTACCTGGCCACCATGACCCATTCCTCCTCCGGACCCAAACAATACTCCCAACACCACAACCAACCATTCCTTGTTCCATTTTTGAGCTCCCCATCTCTTCCCACACACACACACACACACTACAAACAATTACGATACAGATGTATATGTCTGCACATCTACACACGTATATATTGATAAAGTACAACAATCATTTCACTATACTTCAATGAATGTTTTTTCCAATAAATTTTATTTAACGCAAATGAGAACTCAATTACACTTAAAGCGGGAAGAAAAAGAGAGCATACACATACAAACACTGTAGATAATCGGGGAGAGACGATTTAGGGTATTGATTAATCATCCTCCAGAAAAGAAGACAGTGAAGTGTAGAAAGGCAGGTTTGGAATATCGGAATGTACAAATTGGGGGTAGGGTTAGGGTTTCCATTCAGAATTGCCGAAAATTCATAGCCAGAGGCCAAATCAAACAAATAGACCCGACTCAGGCGTTGACCTTTTGGGTAGAGAAATCGATTTAGGGTTCAGATGCATCATTTGGGGTGGCATTTGCATCTATGGCTGTGTGATTTTCTAGTCGAAAGAAAGGATCCCTTCCCTGGTGTTGACTTACTACAGTAACTATTTGTTCAGTGTCTCGGACCATAACTATTTATTCATTTTTTATTTTTTTTTTGCAGTTAATCATTTTTTATTTTGACATATAATTAAATTAAATTAAAAAAGTACTCATTTATATTCCCTTTGACTCATGTCTTTCTTAAAGTAATATTCCAAACTTGACGGAAATTTTTATTTATTTGTTTTCTTTTTTGATCTATATGATAAAATAAAATATTTTGGTTATCACTTGTTTTGTTTAATTTTTAATTTAGTAAATTTTATTCTATATTTCAATACAAATATTAAAATAAAATAGATTAAAAAAAGTTAGAGTTTTTCTTCATTTTGCGCAACGGGAAGAAAGATATGGAACGGGGGATAAGATAAAGAAAGTTTGTTTAAATACTACTTCCTCTGTCCCAAATTATAATGCTTGTTCACTATTCACAGGGTCAAACTTCACTCACTTTCTTTCTCTATTTTTGTTAGTAATTTGATAAAATAAAATATTATTGTTACTACTAGTTTTGTAGATTTTTTGATCTAGTATTTTAATATGTAATTTTTATTTTTTAACTATGGGCTAATAGCATGGGTGCCCCCTGTGGTTTACAAAAAGAGCGTCAAGACTCCCTCTCTTATCAAAATTTATTTGTAAAGTCCATGTGGTTTCTAAATAGAGCACACATGCCCCCCTTACCTATTTTTAAAGCAAAAATGACATTTATGCCCTTTGTTTTCTCTGATCTTGAATTTTTCCAATTTCAATTTCATTTATTATACAAATATATAAAATAAAATATACGCTTCCCATCTCAAATTAGAATTTTTCATAATGTACTTTTGAAAACAAAATTTTTTTTTGGAGAGTGTTACAAAAAAGGAAAAATAAAATATTATGTACAAAGTAAAAAAGTAATAATAGTTAAAATTGGTAATGAAAAGTAATAAAAATATAAAAAAAATAGTCTTTTTCTTTAACTCCATATTTTATTTCATCTTTTGTTCTTCATTTTTTAAAGTCCTTAAAAAATTATTTTACTTTTAAAAACAAATAAGTTAGATTTTTTAATTAGAGATAGAGTGAGTATATGTTATCCAATTTTTTATTTTATTTATTTTACTTTTACTTATAATGAAAAAGTATATTTTATTGCATTTTTGTAACATTTTCTTTAAAAAATTATTTTTTTGAAAATTAAATAAATAAAAAATTTTAATTTGAGAAAGAGGGCGTTTATTTTATTTTATTTATTTGACAAAAAATGTAAACAAAAGAGTGAAATTTGAAGATAGAGAAAAACCAAGGGCAGAAATGTCATTTCATGTGTAAAATAGGCAAGAGTGGTGTTTGTGCACTATTTAAAAACCACAGGGGTTTTATAAATAACTTTTGAAAGTAGAGGGGGTTTTGGCGCTTCCTTTGTAAACCACGGGGGGCACCCATGCTATTATCCCTTTTAACTATATACTACTAGTACCACACCCGTGCGTTGCACGGGTCATATTTACGTTATTAGATTAAGATCATTTTTAAAAAATACAAATTAATATCTAATGGAATATATAGATTTTATTATTTTCAGGTACAAAGTAATTAAAAATTATTGAATTACAATATTTAACATATACACTCCTTCAGGATAATCTCTGTCATAATTTTTGCACTTAAACTTGGAACCAAGATAACATCATTCGTTGGTATTTTCAATGTCAACCACATCACCAATTATCTAATAATATCCTTTCTACAATTAAATCTTAAATTTATGTGTATAGTTTTAAAAATATAAATAAGTCAAATCAAAATTTTAGCCACAAATTTTGTTCATATTTAATGGTTTTTTACCATTTT